TATATACACTACCGTTCAAAAATTTGGAAACAGTTAGGAATTATGTTGGAGAATTTGTTACTGATAAATCATCAAAATCTCAAATTAAGATAGAAAACAACTTAATTTGTCAAATTCAAACAACTTGATAACAATATTAAATCACTATTAAGATAAAGTGGTACAAATATTTAAGAGTCATAAAAAATAGAATTTTACAAAAGTATAAAACTAATTTTATATAATTATACATATATATATACTGCGACGAGGTTTTCTTCTTTTCTTTCTTCTCCGCCCTCCCGTGATACGCGGACGGACGGGTGTTGCCGTCCCGCTCTCGCTGTCGCGCGCGGATCTTAAGGCGAAGGCGCGCCGACGACGGGGAGTGTGGTCGCCGGGCGCGAGAAGCGCGGGATGCGGACGGATCGAGTCGTCGTCAAAAACCGAGGGAAACGGGAATGATAACGCGCCGGAAAGGAGCAGGATCTCGGGAGCTCCGCGCGTACCGTGCCGCGGACCGAAAGCTCCACGCGAAAACGAAGGTTGGGCGCCAGACGCGGTCTTTCACGCGTCACGTCGCGAAACTCGCGAAATCGCACGAACGAGATGGAGCGGCCCTCGTCACGGGCAGGCTAGCTCGCCTAACGGTAGAGGGGCGGGGCGGTGGTTGACGCCACCAAATTCCAGAGGCTACGGGACTTAAGAGACTCACACGACGGACGAGACACACGAAGAGGGACGGACACGAAAAGAAACTCAAATATTTAATAAAAATAACAACGGGTTTAATATAAGGCGGCGTTAACAAGCCGGTCGAGTGGCCGCTATAACGGGCGGCGTCGCAAGCGAATATAATACAAGCTCCGAGATCGGGGGAAACAACACGCCGCGATACTCTCGGCGACACGGAACAATCCGGCGCGAACTCAACGGCAGGAATTGGCTGTACGTGATAAACCCTACTCGGACGACACGGACGCACTCGACAGTAATTTCCTCGCGAACGGTACGAGTACCGTCGCACACGCAAATATTCACGAATTACTATTACACGAATTACGCAAATATTCACGAACAACACTCGGCCGGGGCGCTTTGCCCGCGAGACTGGGTATTCAGGCCGACGTATCGGCCCGTCTTACAACGACGTGCAAACGTAACTTCCGCCGGGCAGTCCCCGACGGCTAACTACGGCGAGCCTTTCGCTCGCTCCCGGCCGCGCCGGCCGCGCTGGTCGGCAGGGGATCCCGCTCCGGACGCGCCGTCCTCGCGAAACCCGCCGCCGACAACGGCGGAAGCGGCCCGGGGTATCGCAAACACGCACACCGCCGTTCACACTCTCGCGGTCGTCGCGACTCCTCCACGCCACGCATGCACGCGACACTCCCGCGGCATGCGTACCCCGCGTGATCTCGCGCAACGCAACCCTCGCGCCACGAATCTCCAGATCGGCTGAGAAAAAGGAAAGGCACGCGGTCGTGAGACTCGACGCAAATACACACTCGCTCACTCACACACGAGACCTGTGCCCGGCAGGCTCCGGGGAACCGCGGTTGCTTGTCGCCGCGACCGGGACGCCCACCAAACTCTAAAGCCAACGGGCCGTAGCCCGGGCGACACCAAACGCGAAATCTTCCCGGCGGCGACAGAACAACCCGGGCCCGGACGCAATCGCACGGGGCGAAACGGACGGAGGAGGATCTCACCGGCACCTCGGCTCTCCCGGGATCGGCAGGCGGCAACGGCGCGTCCTGGGCTCACACGGGAACTCGCCCTTCGTGGCGGGAAAACGGCGGCAGCGGTACACCGGGGTCCTCGCTCTTACAAATCCGGCAACAGGCTGCTCCGAATTTTCCGCGATCGCGGATCGATAGTTCGGGGGCCCCCCCGCGCGGCTGCTCGCGCGAGGCGCGTGCCCCGCGGCCAATCGCGCGACGGCACGCGACACCGCCGGCAGCGATATTTTCGCGATCGGGCGCAGGTGCCCGCGGTATCGCCAAAATCTTCTCGCGTTCCCTCGATAGGGCTGTCGCCGCGGCTCCCCCGCTGGCGCCCCTCAGGTATTGTGCCACGGGCCCTGGGCTCCTTCCTCCCGGCTCGCTGCTCCGCTCGCTCCGTGCCCGCTCCGCACGCCTCTCTACCGTGCTCGCCGCGGAATTCGTCCGTTAGCCGGGCCTCTCGTCTTTCCTCCGCCCCCGCGTCCATCCGCACTCATACGCTCGCATTCATAGGAAAAAAAAACAAAATAATCAGCAATCGCGTCGAATTGACCGAATACGGTCGCCTCTCTGGAGACTGCGGCACGGTTTTCCCTAATCTCGGCCTGTTGCCCTGAGGGAGGAACCCGGTGGACGCGCTCGCGGGACGGCAACGTCACAACGTATAACCAGTCAAACTTTTCGTAGATGGGTGCACGTAAAGAAAATTATGCCCAAAGAAGTCGCAAGCTGAGCTATGTTGGACCGCTCGACCAGTGATGAAGATGAGATAAAGAGCGAACTGGGACGTTACCGCGTTGTGTCTGCGTCAAGTCAACAGTTTACTGGAGCAACAGGTCGCATTTGCGAACTGCGTGGCAGCGGTTCTGGAAAAATTGAGGAAGCTACAGCCGAGTGATCAATATGCACACACGGTGCAGTTATTAGGGTATTATTTCTTAGGTTTAATTGTATAATTCTAAACTGTTATGCAGTACTAAAACATAATGGATCGACATTATTCATCTTTATATATTTATGATCTGTTACAGTACCTGAAGAAGTGGAGAATTTACAATTTAAAGATATAAAGTAATTCTTTCTCGGCAATTTTTTGAATCTCTGTTCTTTTTACTATTTTGGACTAAATTTTTCAACGTTGACAAACGTGTTACATTTCTTACAGCGCCGTCGAAGGGTGTCACCGGTCTGAAAGCTGTGTATCGATAACAACATCCAGCGTCGAGGTTCGCTGAAACATGGTCGACGAGGTGTATCGGAGCGGTGATCACGAGACTGGTGGTTATCGTGTCGTTTATCAGCCGGTATCGGATTTCCCGCCTCTTCAGGCACCGCCGAAAGAAGAGATTCTGGGAATTAATGTGCGTATAATATATCTTTAATCTCTTCTTTATGATGTCAATTTTAATTTGACAACGATATAATATCAAGATGAATCGCGTGTAGCTTCTAATATAACTAATTTACTTTTGTAGGCAACGAAAATGGTTTTAAGCGACTTGACGGAGAACCAATATTACGAGATTGTCGCGCGACCATTTAATTCCGAAGGCGAGGGCCCGTCCAGTCCGCCCCGGTGTTACTGTGTACGTACGTGAGAGGCAGTCCCTACACAGGAGAAGCTCGGCATCTAAAAGCCGAATCTATCCCTTCCACCGAGGTCCACTTGCGTTGGAAACGCCTCCTCAGGCCAATATGCAAAATGGCGATTTATTAGGATACAAGGTAATTGTTCGCTCAGTTACAAAACAGTTATCGCTTTTATAAATTCAATAATTATAATCGCGAAAAATTCATAAACCTTTGTTTTACCTGTGAAGATTAATAGATTAATTATTGAAAATTGACACTACAGTATTACTTAATTAATTTAAAATGTTTGTTTATTATAAAAAGAAATTTCTGTTTATTATTCCAGATTTTTTACTTAGTGACCAACTCCCCTCAGGATTTAGAGAAAAAAACAGGAACAAGAGATACAAGTCGTTCCTGCATCTTGTTTGACGCACAATTTAGTCTTTCTTGACAAGTATACAGAGTATCGCGTACAAGTTCTAGCGTTTAATCCAGCTGGAGATGGTCCACCAATTACCGTGAGAACGAAACAGGTTATTTTCTATAAACGCTACATCGGCAATCGCTAAACAACTACACGTTTCTATTCATTTTGTTTAAGATTTTAGTTGTATTATTCATTCTAGATGCTAAACTCTCTCTTCATGTCCATATACTACGAGCATTAGTTTCCAAAATTCCAAAGAATTATCTGCTTTACAAAAATATTTTTTTTCCAGATAGCACACATGTGTTTTACAACAAGTTCTTGAAGCAAGTTATCGTGCCTCCATTCACACTCGTACAGCAGTTTTGGATTGGTAAGTGTTCATTTTTACTACTTATTTATTTATGTAACGTTAATGCTAATATGTTAATATATGTGTGTATTAATTAGTTGTTTGTTTCAGGGCCGAGGATGCCGGAAGATATCTCATTAATAATTCACTTTCTTTTCAGGGACTATATCTTTGTATTCATTCTTTTCTTTTAGGTGTAATATCATTAATTTATTTGAATATTAATTCTGTTTGTTTCAGGTGCTGCGACCCTTCCGGAGGAGCTGCCAGGTCGACCGACGCCAGGAATAGCGCAGGATACCCACAGCAAGACTCGACGCACACGCGGAGCGCAGAGTAGAAAGATTCGGAGCAACGGAACTCAGATGAGTAGTCCCTCTTGCGGGTTTAAAATATATTCCAATTATTGTTTCTTTGCAGAAATTTGCTTGTGATATCTTTCTTTCTGTTTCAGATTCAATTTCAGGGGATTTTTGGATTAGCAGAGACACTTGGGATCTCTCCAGGACTTGTGTAGCAAAGACGAGGATTTTGATCAAGAAACGGTGTTAGTGCGCCATTTATTAGTGTTCGTTAGTGTCAGTGCTGTGCAACTGATGTGCCGGAGTGCTAATTTTAAGTTGGAATAAGAATTTATATGTACAAGGTATGCCTGTATGAAAGTGACGGGTGATGGGTTATGTGCCGTTGGGTTATGGCGAGGTGTAACGTGCCGTTAACAACAAAGCACTTTCCCCCCACCGCGCACAAGTCCCCCGGCACCACTCCGTCCCGCACCTACAACCGACGGGTATATAAGCCGGCGAAAAACCACCGAGAGCACCAGATCCCGACCAGCGAGCTGAGCTGGTCTTCCGACGGTGACGACGCGCTGAGTCCGAACCGCCTCTAACCTCGCGAGTTGAGCGAGACACCGACCCGCCTGTGATCCTGACGCGTGCTGAGCGTCAACCCGAGAACCGCGAGTTGAGCGGGAGATCCGTGCCGATCCGAGCCACGTGCTGAGTGGCCGTCCTCTCCATAAGCTATCGCGAACTGAGCGAAGCTTATAGTCCTCGCCACGTGTTGAGTGGCTCGACGCCGAACCGAACCTAACCTAACCGCGACCACGAGCTGTCATCCGCGAGCAGACAGTATACCGCGCCGACACCGAGCAGACCGCGCCTGCGCCGTCCGCGCCGAACCGCCGCGCCGCGCCGAGTCCGAGCAGACCGAAGCGCGTACGAACGCACTGAACCGAGCCGCCAATACCGCGCCGCCGCCGACATATCGACCAATCGATCGCCGTCGCGCGCATAGATCTCAAAGCGCCCCAGCGCCAGATTATAAAATAGCGAACCGCCGTCAGAACGGCCGTAGTTATAAGGATAGTTATAAGTTAGTTGTAAGTAGTTAATGTAATTCTAAGTGTTAAAATATAACTCGGTAGTTAGGATTTAAAACCGACTCTCTCTCTTTTCGAGACACCCACCGCCGGACCCTAGAATTCCCGCGGCTATCCGTTGCACAGCAACTAACTATTCGAACGGTCACAATGTGCCCCATGTGTCAGGTGTAAATGTGAATTTTATTGTAATTTCTGAATGGATGAATGAAAGTTAGATATAAAAGCGTGTATGGATCGCGGTTCTGTACCAGAATTGCTGTAAGAATGAGAATTTACATGTATATTAGTGTGAAATGTATGTATGGGTGATTGCGCTGCCGCTGCGGAGCGGATATTGTGTAAATTTGCGATTTATGAGTGAAAATTCAAGTAAACGATTGTAAAATATTATTTGTTATCGCGAGAATATCCTGTCAAGTGTGTATTTGTGTGTTTGAATGCGTTAGTTGTAATAATATTGTAATAATTGTGGATTTTGCATTTCAAGCAAGGCACCTGAAAAGTGAAATTTGCAGTTACGCGTGATTCTTTGCTGCGAATCGTTTTCTCTTCGAGATATTGTAATTCTACATTAGTCTGTAAAGTGTGAAT